TAATTGTATCATTATATAGTATATATCTAGTATTAGGACCTCTATGTAAACCACTTTTAGTGATGGAGCTTCCTAATAAAAGATTGTTACTACTACTGCCATAAGTGGACCTGATGGTGATCCCATTGCAACCCCATAACCTGTTCGTACACCCAAAGTACTGTTCACTAACAAAATGATGAAAGCAATCTCGCCTTATATCACATAAGGATTCACGACCGCACAGATTCATGAGTGAAAATTGACAGTAAAGTCAACAGTTACTTGTGATAAATAAATAAATTGTTCGTGGCTAGTCTTACACAGCACTTTTGTTTTGTCCTGGCCAAGGGACTCTTTAGAGACCTTTCTGCTTGGCAAACACATTGGGCATCATGCCCAAAGCCCCATTCGCTAACAAAATGATGACAGCAATCTTGCCTTATATCGCTTAAGGATTCCTGACCACACAGATTTCCAAGTGAAGATTGACAATAAAGAGAAGACAATAAAGGGAAGAGTCCCTTGGCCGGGATGAAATGAAAGTGCTGCGTAAGACTAGCCACGAACAATGTATCATCACAAGTAACTGTCAACTTTATTGTGAAATTGGAAAACATCAGAGGTTCTGTACTCCTTAGTTGACAAGGGTTTCAGCTTTTCCTCTTACCTCTTTGCAAGAGCATAATATTATTGTACAGTTAGTTCCAGATGCTGAGAGAATTGGCTGCATTGCAAGAGTTGTTTTGTGCGTTTTTGGAAGGCCATGTAAGTGGGCCAGGCAAGATCCCTTCTGACAGATGGAGTCTGCCACATTTTTAGGCAGAATTCTCCACACAACTGAATCAAGATATTTTTCTTTCACCAGGAAGCAGATGATAATATTTTGGTGGTCTTCCTCTTACGGTTGGCCTTTGCTGGCTAATGGGTCAGAATTTTGTCAGGTTTCTATAAATATGCCTTGCAGTTATTTTTAATTTATTCATTTGACAATGATAACATGAAGACGTCGAAATGTCATGTAGGGTTATTTTTCTTGCTTTAAAAAATAAAATGTTTAATTGCATATGGACCAATAACTTAATGAGCAAGCCCACAGAAACATGCACTCCATCTTTATTCAGTGCATTGCAGTTCAACAACAAAAAAAGAAAGCATGTCACTCAGAAAATAACTCCTTCATCCCTTGTGTATCTGTGTGTCCATTGGGTCCCTGTATGATAATGGGCACCTCTTTGGTATCCATCTATATCATTTAAGGAGGCTGGCGACAATTTCCAGCACTTTTCTAACAGCTATACTTTGAAGAATGAATACTACCACTGTTTAACAAATGATGCTACAATAATGGTATCATACCAGTTCCCAATCATTATTAAAATTAAGGGTGTTTTTAGCAGGTCATATTGTTGCTATGGTAACCTATTGTGCCACAAAATTGACAGCAACATGTTCACCAATGATTGGGAAGTTTTTTGATACCATGATTTGGCATCAACTGATATAGAGTGATTATAATGACCCATCAAACTCTAAGTCTTGGAAAGTACTGGAAACTGTTTCGAGCCACCTTTAAGCAAGCTATTACTTAATGTGGTGAACTTTGCTTTGAAGATACAATTCAACATAGTTCTGCTTTAATAGCTACTGTTATCACTTACCCACCAATCATAGTTTCCATGTTGATATCATCATGTCCTGTCTTAAAAATGTATGTTCACTTCAGTTTGATGTGTTTCATTCTGTGGGAATGAACAATTCAAATGTATGAGGTGACTCTCAAACAAGCTCAGTCAATATAGGAAATATCATATGGGATAAAGAACAATTTTTTCTTGTGGAACACAGTGCGTTATCTTGCCTGCTGGGCTTAATCTCGCCTGCTCAGGGAGCTGGCCATATACATGTAATAATATCAATATAATACAGGGATAAAACTGGGCCTGCATTCAGGGATTTGTAAGAATCTGATTAAAAGAATAATGCACTAGTCAATTGTAACCCCGACCCCCAAGCTCCCGCAGATAGCGGGGATTTTACGGAGCAATAATGGGGGAAATATGGAGATTTTACGTTGATTTCTTCCACCAGCCCCTGGAGGAATACCAGAAATTTAAGGCTTCACCTTCTCCCAGGGGTGAGGGTTGTGTTTTTGTTTCAGAGGTTTGGTCACATGGTTAGTTTGCCTGCGAAAGAAGGAAACATTGACTTGAACATTGTTGATGGCCCTGTTGATGTTGGGATTAATGAAATGTTTCGCCAGCTTAAGCCAGCTAAGCTTTCACACGTAGCTATTGGTAAGTGGATGTTTTGAAATTTTAGAATTCAGTTCGGAACTATGGCCGATATTCTGGTTGCAAAATTTCAGAATTGAGCAAACCTCTTTGTCTTCTATTTGACGCTGACTTAACAAGCTCAGCATTCAGCTGTGAGGCTAGAGCGACTTTATAAGTTCATTGTTCATCAGTTGACCCTGAAGGTCTCATTTATACCCTGCATGTTGTGCCTCATTTTAATAAGCTCATAAGTCATGTTTTTAATTTATCGCTTTTGGTGTTGCAAACACGAACATTTGTCAATCGATTTTCCTGAAATAGATCAGATTTATTTACAATGACGTTTTTAAGGTCGGCTGTACAAAACCATCCTTTTAGCATTTTCGACATAATATTAAAAACTTGGTATTAAAGTTGTGCTAAGGGGTAGGGGCAATTTCCTTCTGAATCTGTCCCTGGGGCCTGGGGAAAGTTTCTAAATTACAGAGATGCTTGTGTGAATTCCCCCACTATTCCTGGGCATTTAGGGGTTGGAGCCACAATTGACTAGTGCATAATATGAACAATTCACAGGGAGTTGCATTGCGCATCCTTACTGCGGATAATTTATGGCGTCATTAGCACACGTTTGTGCATGCGCACATTGAAAACATGGCGGATTTGCCTTGATATTGAGTTCTGTCAGTTGAAAAATGGATATAGCTCACTAACGAGCTCGGGCACCCCAAATTTTTTTCCAGTCATTTTAATCAACTAAACCATTAGCTTTGCGTGAGAAAAGACTGATCTGATTTCTATTGTTGAAAATTGAATAAATAAGGAAAATAGCAGCTGCACTGTAGTCTTTTCTATTTTGCAGTTTGATAGCCGTGGCAAGCAGTTTGGTTCCAATATTTTAACAAAGATTCAGCTGTCTGTCAAAATCAAAGTTAAAAAGTTTATTTGTGTCCGACACAAGTATTGACTGTACTTTGAGGCGTGTTTTCATGAGTCTGGGCTCACAAAGAGTTTACAATAACTTGGAATGGGTTCTTGTAACAAGCATTAAATAATGCTAAAATGGGACATTTTTAATGCCTCACAGCTCCTTAACGAGCATGGGCACCCCCCTTTTTTATTTTATAATTAAAGTTCTCATATGATAAATATTCAGTGGACAAAGTTTGAACAAAAAGCTATCGGTAGTTTTATTTCAGGGGAATTAGCTTAAGGGCCAGGCACCGGCAAATTGACCAGCTGTGAGGATGATTTTGCCTGCCTGGTTTGACCATCTTATAGAGAAGTTCAGTTCAAAATGTTTTTCCCACCTTTGGAGACCAGTTTCCCTCCTGTCGAAAATGTTAATGAAAGCCCCACAATTTAGCTTCCAACTGGGTTCAAAAATATGCACAGCTATTTGCTCTCGGACACTATTTGTTATGAAGGCCAACCTAGTGATTTAGTACCGGTAGTATTGAAGTCCTGAAGTGTCACTAAATAGATCTTAAAGTGGCCAGGCATTCTGAAGTTACTCCATATAAGAACAAGCCACAGAAGAGCAAATAAAAACAGAAATACGCTACAGTGTCTCACCTTGCAAACGCCCGCCATATTTCGAAAGCCTGCTTCTGGACACGTGATCGTAGATTGTGCTTTCAGTGTATGATGGGATACCAGTCAGTGTAAAACGAGACTGCGGACTGGAGACTGCGGACTGGAGACTGCAGACTACGGACCGGGGGGAAAAAAATGCAGACTGCGGACCAGGGGTAAAATGCAGACTGCAGACAGAACACTCCTTAACTGAATCGTGTTACCATTTCCATCATTGAGAGCTAACCGTAAACAGGCTAACCGGAGCGTTATTCAGGCTAACCTGAGTGATGTTCAGTATAACCGGCGTGATATTCAGGCTAACCAGGTGCAGACTTTCACTGCGATTAGCCTGAATAACCCCGTTTACGGTTGACACATGATGGAAATAACGCGATATATGCTTAATTAACATGTCTGTAGTCTGCAGTCTGCATTTTACCCCCAGTCAAAACGCAACTCTCTTCCCCGCCCCCCCTCCCCCCAACCCAACACCACTCCCCGGGAAAGCATAATCGCTGCAGACCAAAGAACGACTTAAGGTCATGCTGATTACAACTGCGATCAAACGACTATTGCATTGTTAGCAGTATGAGAAAACCCTGCCATGCGAGACAGAGATTCCCTTCTCAGCTTCTGCTCGGGTAAGAGACGAGAGGGAACCTCTGCTCTTAAGCACTTGGGACGAATAATTCAATAAACTTACAATACTGGTTTTTAACAAATTTTAACCGGTTTAAAACCACCTCTCGTCTCTCATCAAGCAGAAAGAGAAGGGAATCTCTGTCTCGTTGGATAAAGTAACAAATCTAGTTAGTAAAATAAGTATTGTCCCGTAAGTAGTTTCTTCGCTCCGGCCCGAGTGACCACTCGGGCCGGGAGCGGAGAAGGACGGCTGTTTTCGCAGGCTGCGTAAGTAGAATATGGCAAATCATGTGTTTTCCAAATAAAATAACTAAACAAATAGATGAATAAACAAATAAATAAATTAGTATATTTTAAAACAGAGATCACCCGACTCGTTCAGGACCGCGCTCCCTGGCGCTGTTCAGGCTCAGCCTCGTTCGCAGGGTCTCTCATTTTACTGCCAGGCTCTGTCTGGCTCACTACCGTTTCAATCATGCAGGCTTGACACCTTTGATGGGGGAAGGGTTGCTATATCGCAGGGATTTTGCTGCATGCTTGATCAATGATGATGCGAAAACTATAATCAAGCAAGTATATAGCAAGTGCATTGTTGACAAAAAAAAAATGTCAGTAGTTTTGCCGATTTTTCATAACTAATTTCTCATGACATAAATTATCCGACTTTTTCAACTGATGAAAGGGCCTATATCAGCTGTCTTCAGTACATTAGTACATGGTAGTTTTAGATATCCGTTTATGTCATAAATTGCAATATTTTGAGTGCCCTTTGACTTAGCGACGCCATTTTTATGATAGTGTCCCTTGGAATGTAAACCTAACAACATAAATCAGGTTAAATCAGGAAGCGGACGGCCATTGCCAAGCCAGGCCTTCATTTTAATGTACACCATTTATAATCAGAACGTTCTTCGCATGAATTACAACGCTCAATTTGCATTTCTATGCCAATACGGCAATGTCAATGTGACCGCCCAGATGCTTACATGTCTAAAAGAATTTACTTGAACTGGACGTACGTCATAGAAAACAAAGAAAACTAAGATATCTTAATTACTGAAACACAATATTGAAATTCCTTGTCACGAACAACACCACCAGATCCTCGAGCACAGCATCTCTGACACGATCAACGATTTATCGCTTTTTAGCAGTGAGAGTGGCTTTAAAGCTATTTATGTGGATAATATGCCCTTGTGGATTCTGAAAGAAATGCAAGACACGATTTTTTGGACGTCATGTCTAGCCTGTGTTCTGCTGTTGATCTACTGGCGAGGAGTGGCTAGCTTCTCTGTTCTCAAAAATCTTCCGATCCCCGGGCCTCGTCCATGGCCTTACGTTGGAAACCTGCCCGACATCATCAGATACGGGGGAATGCATAATATGTTATGGGAGTACTCCAAGAGATACGGTCGTGTGTTCAAGATGGGCTTCGGCCGAAGACCCACTGTGGTAGTCACTGATCCGGAGATGATCAAGCAAATTACCATTAAAGAGTTTCACAAGTTCCAGAACAGATGGTTTCCCGAAGTAAATCCGCCGATCAATTCGTTCTTATTCATTGCTAAAGATGAGCAGTGGAAGAAAATTCGCACGACTCTGTCGCCAACTTTTAGCGCGATGAAGCTTAAAGACGTCATACCACTGATGGATGAAGCCGCAGAGATTTTAGCTGGAAAACTAAAACTGGCTGCCGCAAAAACAGGTGAGTATACCAGCAGTGCCTCTATATCACTAAACACTGCAGTTCTCTAATTTGTAGAATTCTACACTAACACAATTGCTGTAATCTGATCTGTTGCTTGGGGTCTTCTACAACCTGGTATGAACGCTTTTTCGTTACAATTCTCAAAATCGTTAATAATTCATCAAGTTTAAAGTAAGGATTATGACCGTGACGGTGTTTGGATATCTGATCTTCATTAACATAGATTTTGACGATTTTAGTTCTCCGTTTTCTCCTTAGTTTTAGTTTCGATTGAGAAGAAATATACGAATACCGTAGAATTCCGAAAGTAACGGGCTCCATTACTTTCAAATTTAGCAGGGAAAAAGGGCCGCTACTTTCGGGCAGCCGTTACTTTCGGATTGTTAAATAACGTTTGTACGGTAATTCATAGTCTTTCAGACAAAGCGAACTCGTAATAACATGCACTAAGTTAACAATTCCGTTTACTTTATTTACATATGTGTTATTGGCCAAGCCTGAGGTTACGATAGCTGGATATTTGCCAAGTTCTTTTTTGCGTGTTTTTCAATAGACCGAGACAGAGTCGAGGTCCATAAACTCGCAAAAAACAATCAAGACCAATATCCAGCCATCTTTACCGAACAAGTGCGGTCAAAAAAAAAAAAAAAAACCTCGAAATTGGTCGAAAAAATCGATGAGCGCATGTACACAGCTGAAACAGGGCGCAAAAATGTCCAGTTTTTTCAATATCATTATTGTGAAATGAATGCAAGGTACTGTTTATCGAAGCCTGCGACTTGTCTCCGCCGAAAGGTCATTTTCGGCTTCTCGTTGATTGCCTCGGTGGAGTCAAGCGACAGCTGCAAGTACTTATTGTGACTTCAAACAAATAAGACGTCAAGGTAATTATTGTACCCGAAACCTTTCACCCACCGTATCAGTTATCGAAAAAGTGGGACTGAGCACCTTTTCACATTGTATAATGTGTTGCATCAGTCATTGGCTACAACAATCCCATCTTTACTTCCCCCTGTTCCCTTTTATGACTAGGCTACGCCACATAAACCTTACTTCGACGATTGAGGGTCTGGATGGGGGTGGGACAAGGCCCTGGGAACTAGGTTGGGGGTGGGAAATCTCAGTTAAATTTATGTATCAGTTAAATGTTTGCTCAGTTCTCAGCTGTCATGAGTTAAACCAGATCCAGCCCTTCTGTTAAACGTGCTTTACGAAAAAACATATTTAACTAGTGTGGACAGAAAATATTGAGTTTCTCATTCATGTCCCCTACAGGCAAGAGTATCGACGTGAATGAGCTGTTTAGTTTGTTTGCTTTGGATGTGATCATCTCAGCAGCGTTCGGCATCCAGGCTAACATCCAAACCGACGCAGATCCTGAAATGGTGAACAAGGCTAAAACCGTGTTCAGGACTCCTCTGTGGGTACGAGGCTTTTCCATGTTTCCTTTCTCCGACTACCTCAGCAAGAAGTTCAACATAAGCCCCTTAAATCACACGGATTACTTCCTGGGGCTAGCTCGAGCCATCTACGATGTTAGGAAGACGCAGGAAGTCCCCAGCCGAAGGGACCTGTTGCAGCTAATGCTAGAGGCGCAACGGCAGGAGACTGGGGCTTATGGCAAGAGACTCACAGACGACGAAGTACTAGCGCAGTCTGTCATCTTCATGGTGGCAGGTTTCGAAACTACGGGAAGCACACTGTCTTTCATGGCATATCTTCTTGCCAAACACCCTGACGTGCAGGAAAAGCTGCTCGAGGAACTCGACGAGGCCGTTGAAAACCGCGGTGACATTCCTCTCTACGACTTTGTCAACAGTCTGGATTATCTCGACCGGGTTTTGAGTGAAGTCTTACGGCTTTATACCCCAGGGTTCTTAATCCACCGGAGATGCAATGAGGCGTGTATATTAAACGGCTTAAGTATTCCAGCAGGTGTTGATGTCTTTATGCCGCCGTATGTTCTCCATCGTGATCCACTGTTGTGGCCAGACCCCGAGAAGTTTGATCCTGATAGATTCTCCGCCAAGAACAGGGAAGGCCAGGAAGCCTACTCTTACATGCCGTTCGGCATGGGTCCTCGACAATGCATCGGATTTCGATTTGCTCTGCTGGAGATGAAGACTGCCATGTTCAGGGTTCTGTCAAAAGTAAAGTTCCAGACAGCTGATGACACAGTGGCCCAGTTGAACTTTCGGTCTGTTTTGATCATGCAGCCGCGTGATCCTATCTCCTTGGAAATAGTGGCTCGGTAAAATTTCAGTTCCGGGAGGCATAACATTGACCAAGAGAAGATGAAGAGTGACACACTTAATCCTCCATGCCTCAAGCTATTTTCAGATGTAGTACCCAGTTCTCCCGTGGATACTACCACGATGTTTTCTTGGAGGATGAAAATGCGTGAGTGAAATTCGTGTCACAGGAATGTCTATTTTCAGATCCTCCAAGAATTTGTTTGGTCGGTAGTGGTCTAATTAGAGATAAGAGGGATTAGCTTAGGAATAAGATCTATATGAGGGATTATTAATAATTCTGTCACCCTTCATCTTCTTTTGCAATGAACCGGTATATGGACAGAGTGCTGTTTTCCTCTCCAGTTTCAAGCTTTGTATACATTTGCATATATTCGCACTCAAGATCCCTTTGAAGCTCTCCTAAAAGGCTTCTTCTATATTTTGCTCTTAATTTCGTTATCAATATTTTGGCAACAATTTTATTCGGACAAAACCAGATTACAAAACGGGTTGCAATTAGTTTCCCTGAATTTACAAAACTTCGTGTATTTTACAGAGGTCCTAACTTTCATACCTATCATACACGCTATTAACAACCATTGGAATTAGGACGAGGAGAAAAACTAAAACAAAAACAAACTCACATATAGCTTTCTTTGTATGTTTACAGAATTCCATTCACTCACCCACCTAAGTTATATTAGTAAACATCTGCTAGCGATCTATCACGAATGCCGTGCTCTTATTTAGATTTTAAATAAAGTTTAGAACGACTAGTAGATTTATACTATAAAAAACATTAGTTAGACGCTGTCGAATTTCTACGCGTGATAGTTGACTCGAGCTGCGCCCTCGTCAACCACCCCTGCCGCGAGACATCACGCGATAGAAATTTCGAGCTCAGAATCTAATTGTTAGTAGTAGGCCTCCGTCGGTCAGGGTTGACCATGGGTAGCATCCTAGTTGTCTTCTTGGCTGGAGCACCGGTGTCTGGCTGTAGAGGCCGATGCGGAGTGACAGTCTCTGTTGCAGAGGCTGCATTTGTGTTCTGTCTCTGGTCTGTCGAGGCTGTCGCTTTGTTTTCTGCGGACTCGCCTCTTTGTGGCGGCTTGTGTCAGCTTCTCCTCCCCTGATTTGAGGTGTTTGGTCAGGGCTTCTCTCCACTTGTTAGATACATACATATAGTATAATTCACAGCAAGAACAATAACTTACACTGTATTAAAATGCTGATTTTCAATTTGCATTCGTCCTTCACTATAGAGAATTCGCTTGTAAGGAAAGCAAGAAAGGCTTCTAAACAGTAATTTTCTAATCATAATAGAGTATTTGTCTTACGATGTGGTCACTTGTAATGTTGATCGCGACGTTTCTACTGCATACTGCTGATCTTCATCAGGCGATAAGGTCGACGTCACCTATAAATCACGTTGCTCCGCAATGATTGGTTGGTTTTCAACAGCGGTGATTGGCGCATTTCGATTCTCACTGTTTGTGTGAATACAGTCGTTCTCTCGGTGCTCCGCTGTCGCACCGCTCTCTTGTTGTTGTGTTTCTTGATCATGGACATGCGCACTTGTGGAATTTCTATTCACCTATCCCTGTTGATGTTGTCAGTTGTGAGTTGGCTGACCCATACTTTCCCACGATCATGTTACCGACTATGTTGTAATCAGTGATGAATTTTTACCGGGTCTAAACAATGATTAAAGATTAAAGATTATAGTATATATATGACTGGGTTTATGAAAACCGTGTCAGTACTTTGCACCAAATCACCCATATGCACTTTGATTTCTCGACTCCTAAAGACTTTAAAATAACTCCAAGCGATGACCAAAAAAAAAAAAAAAAATGAAATCATGTAATAAAAAATTTGAGATAAAGCCAAGCAGTTCTTTGGAAAGTGTGCCATCAAAACTTTCCTGCAAATTTGTGTTTTTTTNTTTAACAAATTTTAACCGGTTTAAAACCACCTCTCGTCTCTCATCAAGCAGAAAGAGAAGGGAATCTCTGTCTCGTCGGGTAAAGTAACAAATCTAGTTAGTAAAATAAGTATTGTCCCGTAAGTAGTTTCTTCGCTCCGGCCCGAGTGACCACTCGGGCCGGGAGCGGAGAAGGACGGCTGTTTTCGCAGGCTGCGTAAGTAGAATATGGCAAATCATGTGTTTTCCAAATAAAATAACTAAACAAATAGATGAATAAACAAATAAATAAATTAGTATATTTTAAAACAGAGATCACCCGACTCGTTCAGGACCGCGCTCCCTGGCGCTGTTCAGGCTCAGCCTCGTTCGCAGGGTCTCTCATTTTACTGCCAGGCTCTGTCTGGCTCACTACCGTTTCAATCATGCAGGCTTGACACCTTTGATGGGGGAAGGGTTGCTATATCGCAGGGATTTTGCTGCATGCTTGATCAATGATGATGCGAAAACTATAATCAAGCAAGTATATAGCAAGTGCATTGTTGACAAAAAAAAAATGTCAGTAGTTTTGCCGATTTTTCATAACTAATTTCTCATGACATAAATTATCCGACTTTTTCAACTGATGAAAGGGCCTATATCAGCTGTCTTCAGTACATTAGTACATGGTAGTTTTAGATATCCGTTTATGTCATAAATTGCAATATTTTGAGTGCCCTTTGACTTAGCGACGCCATTTTTATGATAGTGTCCCTTGGAATGTAAACCTAACAACATAAATCAGGTTAAATCAGGAAGCGGACGGCCATTGCCAAGCCAGGCCTTCATTTTAATGTACACCATTTATAATCAGAACGTTCTTCGCATGAATTACAACGCTCAATTTGCATTTCTATGCCAATACGGCAATGTCAATGTGACCGCCCAGATGCTTACATGTCTAAAAGAATTTACTTGAACTGGACGTACGTCATAGAAAACAAAGAAAACTAAGATATCTTAATTACTGAAACACAATATTGAAATTCCTTGTCACGAACAACACCACCAGATCCTCGAGCACAGCATCTCTGACACGATCAACGATTTATCGCTTTTTAGCAGTGAGAGTGGCTTTAAAGCTATTTATGTGGATAATATGCCCTTGTGGATTCTGAAAGAAATGCAAGACACGATTTTTTGGACGTCATGTCTAGCCTGTGTTCTGCTGTTGATCTACTGGCGAGGAGTGGCTAGCTTCTCTGTTCTCAAAAATCTTCCGATCCCCGGGCCTCGTCCATGGCCTTACGTTGGAAACCTGCCCGACATCATCAGATACGGGGGAATGCATAATATGTTATGGGAGTACTCCAAGAGATACGGTCGTGTGTTCAAGATGGGCTTCGGCCGAAGACCCACTGTGGTAGTCACTGATCCGGAGATGATCAAGCAAATTACCATTAAAGAGTTTCACAAGTTCCAGAACAGATGGTTTCCCGAAGTAAATCCGCCGATCAATTCGTTCTTATTCATTGCTAAAGATGAGCAGTGGAAGAAAATTCGCACGACTCTGTCGCCAACTTTTAGCGCGATGAAGCTTAAAGACGTCATACCACTGATGGATGAAGCCGCAGAGATTTTAGCTGGAAAACTAAAACTGGCTGCCGCAAAAACAGGTGAGTATACCAGCAGTGCCTCTATATCACTAAACACTGCAGTTCTCTAATTTGTAGAATTCTACACTAACACAATTGCTGTAATCTGATCTGTTGCTTGGGGTCTTCTACAACCTGGTATGAACGCTTTTTCGTTACAATTCTCAAAATCGTTAATAATTCATCAAGTTTAAAGTAAGGATTATGACCGTGACGGTGTTTGGATATCTGATCTTCATTAACATAGATTTTGACGATTTTAGTTCTCCGTTTTCTCCTTAGTTTTAGTTTCGATTGAGAAGAAATATACGAATACCGTAGAATTCCGAAAGTAACGGGCTCCATTACTTTCAAATTTAGCAGGGAAAAAGGGCCGCTACTTTCGGGCAGCCGTTACTTTCGGATTGTTAAATAACGTTTGTACGGTAATTCATAGTCTTTCAGACAAAGCGAACTCGTAATAACATGCACTAAGTTAACAATTCCGTTTACTTTATTTACATATGTGTTATTGGCCAAGCCTGAGGTTACGATAGCTGGATATTTGCCAAGTTCTTTTTTGCGTGTTTTTCAATAGACCGAGACAGAGTCGAGGTCCATAAACTCGCAAAAAACAATCAAGACCAATATCCAGCCATCTTTACCGAACAAGTGCGGTCAAAAAAAAAAAAAAAAACCTCGAAATTGGTCGAAAAAATCGATGAGCGCATGTACACAGCTGAAACAGGGCGCAAAAATGTCCAGTTTTTTCAATATCATTATTGTGAAATGAATGCAAGGTACTGTTTATCGAAGCCTGCGACTTGTCTCCGCCGAAAGGTCATTTTCGGCTTCTCGTTGATTGCCTCGGTGGAGTCAAGCGACAGCTGCAAGTACTTATTGTGACTTCAAACAAATAAGACGTCAAGGTAATTATTGTACCCGAAACCTTTCACCCACCGTATCAGTTATCGAAAAAGTGGGACTGAGCACCTTTTCACATTGTATAATGTGTTGCATCAGTCATTGGCTACAACAATCCCATCTTTACTTCCCCCTGTTCCCTTTTATGACTAGGCTACGCCACATAAACCTTACTTCGACGATTGAGGGTCTGGATGGGGGTGGGACAAGGCCCTGGGAACTAGGTTGGGGGTGGGAAATCTCAGTTAAATTTATGTATCAGTTAAATGTTTGCTCAGTTCTCAGCTGTCATGAGTTAAACCAGATCCAGCCCTTCTGTTAAACGTGCTTTACGAAAAAACATATTTAACTAGTGTGGACAGAAAATATTGAGTTTCTCATTCATGTCCCCTACAGGCAAGAGTATCGACGTGAATGAGCTGTTTAGTTTGTTTGCTTTGGATGTGATCATCTCAGCAGCGTTCGGCATCCAGGCTAACATCCAAACCGACGCAGATCCTGAAATGGTGAACAAGGCTAAAACCGTGTTCAGGACTCCTCTGTGGGTACGAGGCTTTTCCATGTTTCCTTTCTCCGACTACCTCAGCAAGAAGTTCAACATAAGCCCCTTAAATCACACGGATTACTTCCTGGGGCTAGCTCGAGCCATCTACGATGTTAGGAAGACGCAGGAAGTCCCCAGCCGAAGGGACCTGTTGCAGCTAATGCTAGAGGCGCAACGGCAGGAGACTGGGGCTTATGGCAAGAGACTCACAGACGACGAAGTACTAGCGCAGTCTGTCATCTTCATGGTGGCAGGTTTCGAAACTACGGGAAGCACACTGTCTTTCATGGCATATCTTCTTGCCAAACACCCTGACGTGCAGGAAAAGCTGCTCGAGGAACTCGACGAGGCCGTTGAAAACCGCGGTGACATTCCTCTCTACGACTTTGTCAACAGTCTGGATTATCTCGACCGGGTTTTGAGTGAAGTCTTACGGCTTTATACCCCAGGGTTCTTAATCCACCGGAGATGCAATGAGGCGTGTATATTAAACGGCTTAAGTATTCCAGCAGGTGTTGATGTCTTTATGCCGCCGTATGTTCTCCATCGTGATCCACTGTTGTGGCCAGACCCCGAGAAGTTTGATCCTGATAGATTCTCCGCCAAGAACAGGGAAGGCCAGGAAGCCTACTCTTACATGCCGTTCGGCATGGGTCCTCGACAATGCATCGGATTTCGATTTGCTCTGCTGGAGATGAAGACTGCCATGTTCAGGGTTCTGTCAAAAGTAAAGTTCCAGACAGCTGATGACACAGTGGCCCAGTTGAACTTTCGGTCTGTTTTGATCATGCAGCCGCGTGATCCTATCTCCTTGGAAATAGTGGCTCGGTAAAATTTCAGTTCCGGGAGGCATAACATTGACCAAGAGAAGATGAAGAGTGACACACTTAATCCTCCATGCCTCAAGCTATTTTCAGATGTAGTACCCAGTTCTCCCGTGGATACTACCACGATGTTTTCTTGGAGGATGAAAATGCGTGAGTGAAATTCGTGTCACAGGAATGTCTATTTTCAGATCCTCCAAGAATTTGTTTGGTCGGTAGTGGTCTAATTAGAGATAAGAGGGATTAGCTTAGGAATAAGATCTATATGAGGGATTATTAATAATTCTGTCACCCTTCATCTTCTTTTGCAATGAACCGGTATATGGACAGAGTGCTGTTTTCCTCTCCAGTTTCAAGCTTTGTATACATTTGCATATATTCGCACTCAAGATCCCTTTGAAGCTCTCCTAAAAGGCTTCTTCTATATTTTGCTCTTAATTTCGTTATCAATATTTTGGCAACAATTTTATTCGGACAAAACCAGATTACAAAACGGGTTGCAATTAGTTTCCCTGGATTTACAAAATTTCGTGTATTTTACAGAGGTCCTAACTTTCATACCTATCATACACGCTATTAACAACCATTGGAATTAGGACGAGGAGAAAAACTAAAACAAAAACAAACTCACATATAGCTTTCTTTGTATGTTTACAGAATTCCATTCACTCACCCACCTAAGTTATATTAGTAAACATCTGCTAGCGATCTATCACGAATGCCGTGCTCTTATTTAGATTTTAAATAAAGTTTAGAACGACTAGTAGATTTATACTATAAAAAACATTAGTTAGACGCTGTCGAATTTCTACGCGTGATAGTTGACTCGAGCTGCGCCCTCGTCAACCACCCCTGCCGCGAGACATCACGCGATAGAAATTTCGAGCTCAGAATCTAATTGTTAGTAGTAGGCCTCCGTCGGTCAGGGTTGACCATGGGTAGCATCCTAGTTGTCTTCTTGGCTGGAGCACCGGTGTCTGGCTGTAGAGGCCGATGCGGAGTGACAGTCTCTGTTGCAGAGGCTG